TTGCCAGCAAGCACAAAGGCAGGAGGAAGCGATGCTTTAAATTCACATTATTTTAGCTGATGTATCTGGAGCACGGTGATAAATTAATCATGACGGCCGGTCTGATTCACCATCGTATTGGAGCCCAATTTACACTTCACATTTGCAGAACTGAAATGCGATGCATTAAAATGGTGCACACATCACAGATTTTTCTCTCCAGTGAAGCCACGGAGGGAAGAGGGGAGCTTTGTGCTTGTTCTTAAAAGCACCTGCCTGTAGGCCCGGGTGCATCCTGGCACTGGGAGCACCCAGGAGGCCGAGAGAGAAAGGGCGCAGCGGGAAGCCTGCTTGCAACAGAGCGTCCTTTAAAACTGTCTTCTTGGCGTAACGACCGAGGCCGGCTCGTTCACAGAGGAGGGGGCGCGGGGTGGTGTTACTAAACATAACAGATGGCAGCTGTCTGCAGCTATATAGGGCGCACTGACAAATCCTCCTGGACGGCGGCGCGGCGCGGGGCTGCCCGGCGTGGGTGCCGCCTGCGGGGCTCAGGGCAGCGGTGGCTCGGGAGACAGCAGAGGCCAAACCGGGAAGGGCGACGCCTCTCCAAGGTCACCGCCCCACCACACCTGCTCCCCGACCGGGCCAAGGGCTCCTGGGGACAGGTGATGTCCCCAGGCAAGTCGGTATCCACAATGGGAGGGCGTGGTTGGTTAAGTGCCCAAAACACACCCACTCCGGAGGAAGCCTAACCTGGCCTGCATGCTGATTCCAAGTGAAGTGGATTTCCCACCATTTCTGGGATTTTCCAAGCCCCAGATCAAGACTCTCCAGATCAAGTCTGTCCAACGGCTTGTTTTCCCGTGATTCTGAGGTTCTTTCAGGTGGGGAAGTCTTACGAAGTGTCACTTTTGAAGGTACTCATTTTTAAACATTCCTTTTGAAAATTACACTCGTAAATAACATTGGGCAGTCAAGTTGGCTTGGCAGGTGAGGCGATTTGAAAGCTTTGAGCGGGACCTAACAATAATCGGCTGTCGTGTCAAAGAGCATCAGAGACTTAAGGACAGGCATCAAGGTTGCCACACGGTTATCTACAAATGACAGAGCTGCCCAAGGAGAGGGAGCAGACACTCCTAACATCTGCGTGCCCAGAAAGGTTCTACGTATCTCGAACACACTCTTCACTGCGCACTCCCTGCTGACGGTGTGACTGAGTCTACGGAAAAGTCTCCCGATCCCTCCATCCTTGAAGGTCAGACACCAAGGGTTTCCTATTTTGTCCTTAGTCACTTTCTAGTGCTTTTCATAAATGGTGGGAAAGGCCTAGGACTGGTTCGGTCGTTCATTCATTCATTCATTCATTCATCATTCCATCAAAATCAAGAGTGAGCAAAACAGGTAAGAATCCTTGCCCACATGAAGTTTCCAAACGTGAAACTGAATGTATGAACTCTATGGATGGTGTTGCTCTCCAGCAAATGAAACCCTTCCCTCTGAGTTGCAGGGAATGCTGACATCTCCCTCTCCGTCTGTGTAAAGCAATGGCTGCGATTACTCGGCCGGTTTAGGAAAGGGTCAGGGCATGTGGAGGAACACATGTTGGTAGAAATTTAACAGTTCTAACCCATTTTTACAGGCTTATCTAGTGTAGGAGGCTTCAAGCACATGTGAACCTTTGCCCAGTACTGTGAGTCTATGGGTGGGGTAGGAGTTCCTCTATGAGTCATTGAGGACTGAGAACTTCCTGTCTCAATTCCCAGGAACCATGAGGGGGGATGAAGAATGACCGGGACCACAGTCTGTGCTTTCTGCCGTCTCGAAACACCCCTCTTCTGAGTTCTTCCTACCTCCTTACCATCTTCCACTCCCAATGAAGTACTGAAATCCTTTCCTCACCTCCGCCACAGGATCTGAGACCTCGGCCCAGTGATTCTCAGAATACAAAAGTATCTGGACATCATATTTCTTGTGTTGGGTTTGACCAACTCATTGAGGTGCACTGGCTAAGTGTTTTACCAGGTACTTGTTTTTCTTCTGATTTATTTGTTTGTTTATTTATTTTGTTTTTTGAGATGGGGTTTCTCTGTAGCTTTAGAGCCTGCCCTAGAACTCACTCTGTAGACCAGGCTGACCTCAAACTCACAGAGATCCACCTGCCTCTGCCTCCCAAGTGCTGGGATTAAAGGTGTGCACCACCACCACTGGGTCCACCAAATACTTGCTAAAGAGTGTTGGGGAGAGATAGGCACAATGATTAGCAGATGAAGTTGCCTTTTCACGGTCATACCCTCATTTGTTTGTGTGTGTGTTTGTTTTTGGGATCAGGTCTCACTATGTAGCTCTGGCTGTTCACTATGTAGAACAGGTTAGCCTCAAACTCAGAGAGATCTGCCTCCCTTTAATGCAATCATGGCTTTGACTCTCTGAATTCTCAGGCTTCAAAAGTGTGTCAGACACCCTCCAGTTGTAACTTCTGTGGAAAATTACCCAGAATGGAAAGCTTGATGTAGAATACTCCATACACATCATTAGGACGCTTATCTCTCCCCTGCAACAACCTTGACAGTCACTCTATTCCAAGAAGTTCACTGAACAGAATGTCAAAAAATTTTTTTAATTTATTTGATGTGGGATGTCCTTCTGTATGCTGCAAATATGCGTTGCTTTTATTGTTTGATGAATAAAGATGATTTGGCCAATGGCCCAACAGAATATGGCTAGGTGGGAAATCCTAACAGAGATAGAGAAAGAAGGTGGAGTCAGGAAGATGTCATGTAGCCACTGGGAAAGCAAGAGGTGAGGTAACAAGCCACCAGCTTCGTGGAAAAATATAAAATAATAGAAATGGGTTATTTGTGAGTGCTAGTTAGTAATATGCCTGAGCCATTGACCAAACAATTATAATTAATACTAAGCCGTAGAGCAGTTATTTGAGAACTGGCAGGGAGGACAAAAAAGCGACTGAGGAGACCGGCAGAAGAGACACAGGTCCAATGGGACCAGGTGGGACAGAGAAAAGTATCCAACTGCAGTTATTGGTGTGTGTGTGTGTGTGTGTGTTCTTCTCACCTTTGAGTTCATGTGGAGATCAGAACAACTTTGTGGAGACATTGTGCTCCTTCAACTTTTTTGTGGGTCCCAGGGATCTACTTCAGGCCGCCAGGACTGATACAGCAAGCTGAGTCATAGTACTAACCCCAGACCTTCCAACTGTGCAGTGGACTTAGTCACATACTTTTGAAAAAGGAAGCGAGGTGATTATCTAGTGTTTCTCAGCAGGATGGGCAGTGTTGCTCGCTCCTGGCTGAGCAGAGCGTTCCCCCCCTCTTCTAGTCTTTGTCACATCCGTCTTCACTGGCACTCTGTCTGGCCTCTGTGGTATACTCCCTTGTTAAGGAGCCACGGCTGCCTCACTTCCGAAGGAGATCCAGGGAGTAGAAAGGTTGTGGGTATTCACCTAAGACCCACAGCAGACTGGCATTGCTTTCAGCATTAGAACTTCGGGTCTCCCAGATGCTTGGAGCTTGTTGACAGTTCCAAAGATGGGATAGAGGAACAGAAGTAGGAGACCAACTCAGGGGCGGCGGAAGTGTGAGGAGCAGAGGAAGCCCTGAGTGAATGTGTGTCACTGATATGAGCATGGCCATATCATGGACCCCAATGTCTCAGATCCATGGGAATGGCGAAGCGTTCCCTTGGCCCAAGTATGAGTGTTGGACTGAACAATCGGCCTTTAGCTAAGACCTATGTATAGGACATGTAGACCACAGCTTCCTCTTCATGGATATTAGCCTGAGACTGCTCCTCTACAGGCACCTCCCATGCTTCCTCCTTGTCCTGGACACAATAAACAGGATGGGTTGCCTAGTAGGTACCCTTCATCAGAGTGACCAAAGCCAAGCTCGTCTGTATGTGTCTGCTGTTTCTTCATTCCTGCATCACCCTGGCTAGGCTTCGAAGGGGGAGCAGACTTCCTCTTACTTCAGGTCTCACAGATGTAGTCTCAGGACTACTCTGGGATTGGTCACTGTGCCACACAGTCCAGGGGCTCACTGTCACTGGGGGCCTGGCTGTCTTCTGGCCTCATTACTGTCTGCTTTGTTTCCTTCGGCGCCCTTTCCGTTTCCCCCCTGCTCCTGCGGCCTTTGATCGTCTTATATTCACACACACACAGCGCAGACAGGACGGTAAAATACTGCTGGTCAATGTATCGCTTCTGGAGCAAGGTCTTTCCGTCAGGCTCCCCTGCAGATGACAGGGGAGTCAAAGGATGCTTTGGATGAGGGCCGATAGCTTGTCTCTCCAGTAGGGGGCAGCATAGCTCACTGGCATCTTGAGTGTCCGCGGCCTCAGTGCAGGCCCTGAGGTCAGAGGATGTGAGTTCAGAGCCACCGCTGCATACAGGCCTTTGTGTAACTTCAGCTGTTTACCTCTGTTTCTGATTTGAAAATCAATATGAATAATGTAGACTTCAAGAGATGTGTGTGTGTCGGTAAGAAAGGGCATCAAATGAGGAGGCATTTTAAAGGACTTAGCAGCGAGCCCTGGCTTGGCTCAAGAGGACTGAGGTCCTTGCTGCCACGCCTGAAGCTCTGAGTTCGATTTCAGGACCATATGGAGAAAGGACCGAACTGATTCCTGAGAGTTGTCCTCTGACTGTCATATGAGCGCTGTGCTACAAGTGTCTTCCTCCTACAAAGAAATGAACAGCTTTTTTTCCCCCCTCTTCAAGACAAGGTTTCTTTGTGTAAACAGTCCCAGCTGTTCTGGAGCTCACCCTGTAGACCAGGCTGGCCTCACAGAGCTCCATTTTCTTCTGCCTCCCCAGTGCTAGGATTAACGATGTGTGCTGCCACCACCCAGCCTAGGGAACAACTTTTTAGAGAATTTAACCTTTTGTAAACCTTTGATGAACGCTGCCCATTGCTTTTATTGCTATCATTACTAATAAGTAGGAGATGGTTGTTTTGTTGCCATTGAAGTAACAAGCTAGAGCTCCCCCTCAGTACCCACACTTGCCTGCTTCAGACTTTTCCACTCACAGCGAAGGCCATGGGAACATACACTCAGGAGGACAGGAAGAAGGGACAGAGGCTCTCAGTGTCCTGGTATGACCTGGAAGTTTCTGTGAAATCAATTACATTATATTCTGTTTCACATGCTACCTATACATTGCATAGGTTAGACAGCTTTTAAATATGATATGCTGTGACATAATCTCCAATAAGTATTTTAAATCATGTAACAATTCAAACGTTTAGTTTTGGCCCAACAAGACACTCTATGTTTCTCTTCTGGCACATGGCAGGACACACACACACACACACACACACACACACACACACACACACACACACACAGACCCTGCCCTGTGTTGTCCAGGGACACACCGTGTTCTCACACCTCAGCCTTTTCCATGTAATTCCTACTCCCCTTCTCCAGGCCATTCACCCTGATTGAGTCCTTTTAGTTTTGTTTGTGTGTGGTGCCAGGAATTGAACCCAGGGCCTTGAATGTGCTAGGCAAGAACCATACCACTGAGCCACAGGCTGAAGCCCACTCTGAGTACATCCCATTCTTCCTTCAGGACTCAAGTCTTTCCTCTGGGGGAAACTTCTTGGGACCCATGTGAGAGTTCCTTCTCTCATAAACTTCCTAACTTTCCCTGTTATACTTTACAGTACTTCTTGGATTAGTGGGCTGTCCCTTTTGGAAGATTTAATCCCATAAGGGTGGGAGCTATATGAAAACAAAAGAAACAAACAAAACCAAACAGCATTTGCTGACATTCAGTGGAGTCCACCGCCTTTTGCTGATTGGATGCAGCAAGGAAGGGTGAGTGTGGCTTATTCCACTTCCCAGCCACTCTGTGTCTAGAGAGATGGCAGAAGTAGCCACGAGGGCAGGGTATTTCCTGTTGCGTTAAGTCCTTTCTGATGAGCAGAACAGTCTCACTGTGGCACAGCACTGAGCTGCCTAGCATCCACCAATGTTACTGACCAGAGAAACTGATTGAGAGTTCTGCCGTACTTCCAAACAGAGGGGATGTCAACTGCTTAGACACGTGTGATAATGCAGCCTCCAATTCCACTGCTAATCTGTGGGGCGTTGCATTTAGGAAGACCTTTGATTGCAACTTGACTTAAGAGAGTGAAGACTCCGGTCCCAAATGTAAAGGGGCTATGGAGTCTCTGAGAAGAAATTAACAGCTCTGTACAAGGTACAGAGATGTAATGTCAAGTGGAGAGCAGAAGATACTGGAGCAGATGTCCCCCACCGTCCCTAGGAAGAGGCGGTGTGGCAGGAGCCAAGCCACTCTGCGCCACTCAAACCCATCGCCACACAGACGGAGGGTGCATGGCCAGCCAGCATTTAACAGCACAGGTCACTTCCTTGTGGAGTGACCCTGTAGTTCAGAGTGAAGATTTGATGTCCTAACTGAATTTCTCACTCACATGTGACCTTGGTTAAATTCCTACATAAACTATAGGTGGACTTTTCTTTCCCACCCGCCATTTCCCAAATAACTGACACGGAGACTTAATATGCATTATAAATGCTTGGCCCTTAGCTCAGGCTTGTTGCTAATTAGCGCTTACAACTTAACCCATTTCTCTTCATCTATGTGCTGCCCTGAGGCTTGTGGCAGTTATCTGACTGTAGAGTACACGGAAGGAAGCTGGGTTTGAGGAAGGATAAGTGAGGTGCTGGCCTGTTTCCCAGCCTTCCAGGGTCCTGGAGACAATCAGCACAGCAGGGAGTCTAGTCAAGCAGGAACTCCTTTATTTATTGTCCCACAATGGGGGGGGGGGTGAAGGGGTGAGGAGGGCAGGTGGGGGAGTGGAATGGAGCCTCTGTACCCTATGCTTTACCTAGTGAACACAAGCTGTTCATACAGTGACCTCATCTGGTTCTATCTAGGCAACCAATCATTTTTTTTGTAAACAACTCAGGACTCTCCCACCTGACTTCCCCTCAGTGCCATCTTTGACTGGCTTGTGTGTCCTTCATATGGCCTTCCCATGTTGTTTCTTCTGTGTCTGGCTGGAGACTCTCTCACTCCACCCTTCTTTCTAGTGTCCTTAGTCTGGTTCTCTAGCTTAACCTTTTCCTGTCCAGCTATTGGTCAGTCAGCTTCTTTACTAAACCAATCACAGCAACATATATTCACATAGTATAAAGGAGTATTCCACAATAAACCTCCATTTGTTTGCTTTTTATCTGCAAGATTGAGGTAAGGGGGGCTGGACAGATGGCTCAAAGGTTAAGAGCACTGACTGCTCTTCCAGAGGTCCTGAGTTCAATTCCCAGCAACCACATGGTGGCTCACAACCATCTATAATGAGATTTGGTGCCCTCTTCTGGCCTACATGGTGTACATGGAGGCAGGATGCTGTACATGTAATGAATAAATAAATCTTTAAAAAATTGAAGACAGTCCAGTATCTCCTTCATTGAGTTGCCAGATGCTTGGCATACTCTCAATAAACGTTTGCTGTTGTAGCTGAATGGCTGCTCACAAACCACAGCCTGTTTCCTCAGAATGTGTGCTTGCTTTTAAACTGGAGCAACAAACAGTGACAACGCTATTCTCACAGTGCAGCCTGTTCCTCTCTTCAAAATGTCTAGCAGGTGTGTCCAGCCTTTCGACATTGTGACACAATGCTGCCATCCATAACACAGCTTCTATATGCTTGCTCAAGAACTCTGTCATTCAGTTAAAAGACAATTATCTCCTGCTGCTCTCTGTAGGTTTAGGATTGTGTGCTGGGAGTGCTCCTACTTATCTTAGGGTGCATATGCTGTGACTTTGGCTATGTCAAGCTGCTCTTCCCAAACCAACATGGCAGACACCATCGATGTTGGGAGTCCCACCTCAGGAGGATTTGCTAACAGTTCCCATGATTTCCATTTCAAGAGAGAATTTATGGACGCTGGGACCCTGCACAGTGGTTGGAACTTTCTCATAAGCAGTGGCATTTATCCTAAAATGGAAATAATTATAAACCACTTGTTTTAAAGAAAGAAAACTATGACAGTTGCTTATTTATTAAGCTATGTCTTACATAAATCATAACTTTTTCGAATTCATTTTTCTTTGTGAGTGAATTTGTGTCCTCCATATCCTTGCAGGCTTCCTGACACGTACACTAGTATTTCCTGATGAACCACAAATACTCTTTCACATATTCTCTGAATAGCACTACGGAAATGGAAACAAACAAGAGCCATGCTCAGAAAACTTCAGTTCTTCAGATTTAAAAAAAAATGCGTGGTGAGATAAATTAAACAGCCTTTGTCTTATTTTGTTTTGTTTGTTTTGTTTTCAACTGTCCAGCGAGGTATAGAATATGTTATGATTATTTATAAGTGGGTTTCAACATAGTGAATAATTCAATCCACTTTCTATGTTTAGTGACTTATAAATTAAATGAAGAAAACTCATGTTAAGAACTGCTGGGTGGGAAACAGGAGTCATTTTAGTTGGGAGAGAAATATAAAGAGAGTATACATATACCCAGTTTTTAGCTTTGCCATTATTGTATCTATTCCCCATTTTATGTTTTTATCTGTATTATTTGCCTCTTGTCCTATAATGGCTTAGAGTTATTTATGTGGAGTTCAGAGGGTTGTGAACTGCTCTGTGGGTGCTGTGAATTGAACCCGGGTCTTCCACGGGAACCAGTGTTCTTAAACACTGAGCCACCTCCCCAGCTCATAAAACTTCTTTTAAATCTATGTACATGCGCTGTTTGTGCCTACATGTCTGTTTGCACATCACATGTTTCCAGTGTTTACAGAGGCCAGAGGGGTACATAAAATCCTGGGTGTCTGGGCCATCCAATATGAGTGCTGGGAACCAAATCCAGGTCTTAACTGATGGCCCACCTATGTGTCCCTTTTCTAACTTCTAATGTCAGTCTTTTAGATATTTACACTCCCAGCCTGGCATGGTGGCACACACCTTTAATACCAGCACTAGGAGGCAAGGTTAGGCAGATCTCTGTGAGTTTGAGGACAGCCTGGTCTACATAGTGAGTTCCAGGACAGCCAGAGCTACATAGTGAGACCCTGTCTCAAAACAAGAAAAGAAAGAAAAGAAAAGAACAAGAAAGGTACAGTTTCTATTGTAAAAATCAAAATCAATGAATCATAAAACTAAAAGTTATGAAAAGACCATGACATCTCTATCTGGTAAGTTAATAACAATTTTTTAAAACAAGTTTTAACAGAGGCACCATATGGATGTATAAAGCCGCTCCAAGAAGCCATCCGTTTACATAAAATGTAATGATTTTCCTTAAGTGAAAACCCCAGTGCTGGGGGTGAGCTGCCCCCATGTGTTGTTGCCGGTGAGGAAGGCGTCTGATGCCCCTGGAACAATGTAGGCAACTGGCATCCCAGTTGGCTGACAGCAGACCCAGATGGGAAAGCCCTGTTGCTGAAGCCACTGTGTGCTCTGCTTGTAGAGTGTAGTATCAGGTAGGAACCCAGATGGAAGCCTCCTTCCTGCTCGCTCCCTTTCATAGTCCTGTGCTGGGTGGCTGGGGAAGAGCTATCATCAACAGTGGTACTCAACTGTGAACGCTGTCTGCTACACCATTTCCCTGCTGGGCCAGGTGCCAGGCTCCCCAGTGCAGGAGTAGGGGGTCGTGTTGATGGTACCTAACTGCTTTCTGATGGGATGCCAGGCTCTCCACAGGAAAGAATGCCCTTCTGGTACTGTGAATCTGACTACGGGGATCATAAACCATAGTGGGGGGAATTACTGCTGCTGTCCTGCTAAGTGGACATGATGTGCCTGTCCAAATGACTTCTGAATATCACAGATTAGTGCTGACATCAGTTTGGGTCAGAAACAAACAAACAAAAAAATCTTCTTTTTACAGGTCATTGGGCTGTGAACACATTATTGTTGGGTGCTTGGCTTTAAGATGGTTGTCCGTGTCATCTCTTCCAAGGCGTAGGGATGGTGTAGAAGAGGGGTAGGAAGAATGGGAGAGCTGGAGGAAGGGGTGGAGTGCTGTGGATAGTGTACTCTTGAACTCACACAACGCTGGGCTCATTACCATCCTGTCATGGGGTGGGGAGAAGCTCAGCAAGCCCCATACCTCCCCAAGGGTCCATTGGCAGTCAATGGTCTTCTATAGATAGATATTTCTTTCTATAACAGTGGTATAGCCACTGCTAAGGTGTGGTGTTAGTTACCAAGGCAACCTGGAGAAGGGAGAGATTATTTGGGTTTGTGGTTCCAGGGAGATAAGAGTCTGTCATCTTTTCCACAGAAAGCATGGCGGCAGGCAGGCATGGTGGCTGAAGCAGAAAACTGAGAGAGTATGCTGAGAGTGATGAGAGTCTTTGAAAAGTCAAACTCCTCCCCTCTAGCAAGGCCATACCTCCCAAAAAGGACCACCAGCTGGGGACCAAGTGTTCAGATGCTCAAGACTATGGGGAACATTTCTCATTCCAACTACTGTAGGTGCCCATGCCCTCGCCCCAAGTCTCTGCAAATGAAATTCTTTGGGTTACCAAAGAGGAGGAGAATATGAAAGGAGAGGAGGGGTTAGCTAGGAAGAGGAAAAGGATCAAAGGGAAGGGACAAGAGAAGGAGACTATGACCAAAATACATCAAATACCTGTATGAAAATATCATAATGAAACCTAGTATTATATGTAACTAATATGTACTGATAAGAAATGTTTATCAAAAGTATCAGTTTAATATCATCCCACAATCTTAAAAAAATGGGAGAGAGCGATTTCTCCTTTCTCCTTTATGTAGGTTCCATAAATTTGGGTCTTAGGTTTGTGGAGCAAGTGCCTTTACCATAAATTCTGAGATGTAGAATTTTGTTGCCCTTACATATTTAATGCTTTTTTTCATTTTCATTATAACTTTTTATTTTCTATATTTACATGTTTCTTTTTTTCTTGCTTTTACTAATACTCAATTAATAAAGTCAAATTAATACATTTAAATGGATCTAGATGATTACATTTCCCCATACTTTAATACCATCTAGATAACTATTTTACTTCCCTTACACACCCTAAACCACATCTGATTCTCTAGAGCTTCCAACTCCTAAAATAGTAGAACTCAGACTACAAAGGTGTACTTATTATTTTTAAAGGTGTATTTTTAGTTTTATTATGCATATAGGTTTGTCTGTCTGTGTGCATGCAGTACCTGAACCGACCTCAAGAGGGATTAGGCCCCCTGGAGATGGAGTTACAGGTGGCTGTGAGCTGCCCAGTGTGGGTGATGGGAACCAAACTTCAGTCTTCTGCTGGAGCTCATAACTGCTGACCTGCCTCTCCAGTCTGTGACTTACTAGTTTAAAAGCATCACTATTAAAGCCGTACATTTATGCACATGAAAAATGAAAGCACAGTTGCCTTTTGAAGCCAACGGAGGTGACTGCCACAATAGGTTCCACCGAACAGCGTCAAAATTAACTAAGGGGAAAAAATTACCTAAGAATTTATTAGAAAAGTAGACTTCCAGGCCGGTTAGAAGCCTCCTAATGTAAGAATGTTTAGTTTTAGCAAGTTCCCCAGATAGAGTGTCCTCACACCTGAAGCTGGGGAGACACTACCATCAAATACTAGGCACTATAATTATAAGTGTGGAGAAAGCAACACGGTGACAACTCAAGCTGTTGTCAAACTCAAAATCCCAGGACAGGGCCTTCAAAGACCAAAGAGGAGCCACTGAAGTGAGTTCTGAGCTCAGACCTCATCTAGAGTCCAGGCAGGTTTTTCCAGTGAAAAGCTATCAGTGACACGTGTTATAAATTCCTACTTTAAGACCTGGCGGGTCCTAGGGGATTCTGGACACAATCCTGGGGCTGCCATGCCACACCCTATGCTCTGTTCTTTTTAGAGGGAGTGGGCTTGGATCTAGGGGTCTGCCTCATGCATCCCAACAGTGCTCCATTGCTGAGCTACACTCTCATCCCCCTCTGACAGTTCCAACGTGTCTCAGCAAGGTACATTGCAGACATAAAAGAGCTGGCGATAGGTGGCAGCAGGGAAAACCAGGCTAGAGGCAGGCCTAACAGAAGGCTGTGCCTGGCATCCTCCAGGAAGCCAAGCCGAGGGTTCCAGACAGTCCCCAGAGGGGAATCCCGCTTCCTCACCCCCAGCCCTTGAAAATGCACAGCAAGGAAGGGGAGTGGAGCAGGACTGAGGCTCGCTTGTCTGAGGCTACAGCATCTGCTTGGCAGAGTCAGCTAGACACATTTCCTGTGTCGAGAGTGTGTGCTAGCTGCTGCCCAAGGGGAATCCTGTCAGTCACACGCTCGCTCGCTCTGGTGCTTCAGGTTCAGCTGCTCTCATCAGTACAGAAGCAGTCACATGACGAGAAGTGGTGATTGCGGGTAGCAAACAGGCACTCTCCGTGGAGTAGTATTTCTGTCATAACCGTGCACCTGGCTGACTCTGTTGGGAAAGTTTAGCCAAATATCCTGTATTTTTTCTGGACCTGAGATGGCTTAACCCTTGAGCAGGGTTACTTCTGAGATGATCAGCTTTCTAAGCCATAATCACAGTCGAGATCTCCTTACTTAAGGCGCCACACCTGGAGTTCTAGCTTTCCTTTAGAATAGTTCTATGCCATGTATTAAACAATAGAGTGCTGTTGTCCGGACTCCAGGCAAGAGTGTGGGGGCTCCTCCAGCTTTTTTGGAAGCACTCAAACTTTCATTTCTTGCCTTGACTGCTCTTAGGAATCCAAGAGGAAACACTCCTGGAAAATAGTGGGGAGACTTTACTGACTTCCAACGACTGCGCGACCCCAAAGACAGACACAGACTCGGGAGTATGCTACCATTGTTAGAACTTTGCTTAGCTTTTCCCTACCGAACTTCCTCCGGCCTCAGGGTCGGTACCTGCAGCATCAGGCTAACAATGGGAATTCCTTCTCAAGGTTGCTCTGAGGGTTAAATGGGGCAGTGCACATGGAAGAGTTAGGCACATGGTAAGCGCTTGGTTGTTAGAAACCATGTTTACAAATACATTTACATTGAATATAGATAGGGGTTGGAGAGTTGGCTCAGTGGGTAAAGCGCTTGCCTTGCAAGTGTAGGGACTTGAGTTCAAATCCCCAGAATCTACAGAAAGGCCAGAGGTGGAAGCGCACATCTGTCATTCCACCGCTGACATGCAGAGTCCAAGGAACCAGGTGGAAAGCAGGGACCAACACTTGATGCTGCCCTCTGACCACCGGACATGTGCCATGGCGCATAGCCAGCATTCACACATGTACATGGCCACGCCATGAACGCATATACACACATCAAACACACAAAATATTATAAGCAGCATAGAATTGCACAATAAACCTTATTTTGCTACACAGGTTACCTCGCCTTGAAGCTGATTTTTCTTGTACTAAAAAAAAAAAAGTTACCTTTCTGGGTTTGATTGTGGAAATCTCAGCCCATCAGTTTTCTCTACCTGAACTCACTGACCTCGGAAGAAAGCAAAGAGAACATGGTTAATTTCAGTCATTGCCTTTTCTTTTCTTTTCTTTTTTAAAAAATCTTTGAACAGAAGTAGGACTTATAATCCAGGCATTCAGCTTTGTCCTTGTCAATCACCTTTTCTTCCTAATTAAATTTACCTGGAGTTCGTTTTAAAGAAAATAATTTGTTCAGCCAAAAGTGGTTGCATATTTATACTGCAATTAGTTAAGAACCCCGCCAGTGAGGCCCTCCCCCTGAGACTCAGCAAAGAAAGAAAAATGCCACTGAAGCCTCAAGATTTCAGAGCAATTAAGCCCTGCAGTGCAGGTGTGTGAAACACCTGCTTCTCTCCTGCCCCTGCCGGCCTGTCCTGGCCACCCCTCATCAGCTGGTGAAAATAATTAACTTACCCTATTAGGAGAAAAGCCTAGAACTGCTAAGGGCAACAAGTCTGCTTTTCTCTTCTTTCTCAGATTAAGTGAGAAAAATAAAAAGGTTCCTGGGTGGTCTACAAACAGGTCAGGGGGGAAAAGTTTTCTTTAACCAAAAAAAAAAAAAAAAAGGAGTGTGTGTGTGTGGAGGGGGAGACACGACCTTGTCCCCTGTTAGGGAATGCGGCAGCTAGCTTAGTTCACAATTCTGTTTTCTTTGTGACAGCAATTGCTCAGGGGAGTGAAAACCCCCATGTTAAAGATGTTTCTGTTCATAAACAAAGCATTTGGGCGGGGTGACTTTGCTGAACCTGTCTTTTGTGAATGCTTGAAAATTGACTTGAAATCTCAGTAGCAGCGTCCCTCAAAAGGGTATGGCGGGGAAATTTTTAAATGAATACGATCTAGTTATAGTTCATGGAGAAATTGTTTTTAGAAACATTTCATGTGTCAGTCTGATGAATTTTAGCCTTTCCGGAGCACACTTGTTTCTCCAGGTCCCGCTAACGCCCCTGCTGGCACTCTCCACAGGACAGCAGAAGGGTGGGGGCAGCGGCTGAGAGATTACTTCACCAGCTCTTCCCACTGAGGTCACAAATGTGAAAATCTCCAAGCTGTTTAATGGGTACATTTGTTTTGAAAGACATAAGGTTGGCAGAGGCCAGAAACTGCTGAAGTCACAAAGTGGTTCCCTTTTAAGCAAGTAATTGGGGAGCACCAAACTCTTAGAATATCACTTCCTGTCCTATACGTGTGTGTGTGTGTGTGTGTGTGTGTGAGTGTGGTGTATGTGAGCGTGTGTATGTGTGTGAGTGTGTGTGTGCATGTGTGTAGGGGAGAGTGCATTGAGAGTGTGTGTATGTATGAGTGATTGTGTGTGGGGGGAAGTGTATGTGAGTGTGCCTGTATACGTGTGTGTATGTATGCGTGTGAGTGTTCATGCAGGACAGAGGCTATGCCTCAGGTGTCTTCCTCTGCTAATTTCTATCTCATGTTTGAGACAGTTTCCCTGAGACCGGATCTCACCTCGCCCCTGCTTGACCACACAACCACACCAGTGTTGGGGTAACAGACACACCACCTGCCCCAGCTTTTTCTGGGCGCTGGGGATCAGAACTCAAGTCTTCATGATTCTTTGGCACCTTTACCCACGGGATCATTCTCACCGCACAGACTCTTTTCTTTTATAAAGGTAATTTGAAGTCACTGGTCCAGTAAGACTCTGAACTTGAACAAAAGCTTTGCCACAGTGATCTCGGAACATAGATTGCAGGAGGCCAACTGCACACCATCAATTCTACTTGTAAATCTGACCCATGGTTTCCTTACAGTGCCTGATGGTGTTAAAAGGCATCCTTCCATTTGAGGTTAGGTGGGTTTCATAACTGGGAGAGATAAGCCCACTAACTTATACATAGAGGTAGTCACATTGAGGGACCAAGAACAGCTCTGAAGATAGAGAACGGCTCCGAGGGCATTAGCATATAAACAAATGGTTAAATTGGGACTCCCCACGTGTGTGTGAGTGAACACACACACACACACACACACACACACACACACCACACACACACACATCTCCACTTCAGGCTTGCTGATGCCAGGTCTAGAACTATTTCCATGACCTGGACCACAGAGTTTGTCTCTGGGAAAGCATGGTCACAATCCAGGGCTAAGGGCTGTGGTCTTCCTCTGATAGGAACATTGAAGGGCGGCATTATTTCTAATTGGCCAGCAGGTGGCAGAGCAATCCTTGTTCCCAAATCCACTCGCAGGTTTTCAAGTTAACTTCAAAAGTAACTGCTGAAAATTCCAATCAGGACAAATAAATTTTGCAGCCAATGTTCCATTAAAATATCTCTAATCATAATACTTAATATAAAGTCAACTCAATTATGACTATACCTTACTGACTTTTTTTTCTCCTTTAGCAATCCAATACAGCTGTAAAATTTTGGGTTTTGTTTTTGTTTTCAAATTCCATTTCCTTCTCAGGGTGCTAGTTAGTTGGAAAGAAATGCTGGTCCTTTACTACAATTCGTTTTGCATTAAATGGTCTGTCTCTGAGAGCTGGCTGTGGCAGACTAGGTCCAGGAACATCTTTTAGAATGATATTGAGCCCGGTGGTGGTGGTGGTAATGGTGGTGGCTGCAGCGGTGGGCGGCACAGGTCTTTAACCTGAGTACTTGAGTGGCACATGCCTTTAACCCCAGTACTTGGGAGGCAGAGGCAGGTGGATCCCATAAGTTCGAGGCCAGCCTGGTCAACACAGTAGTAGTCAGGACAGCCAGGGTTGCACAGAGAAAACCTGTTCCAAAAAAAGCAAAAGCAAAAGAGAGAGGGAGAAAGGGAGGAAGAGAGGAAGAAAGAAAGATGGATGAGGAGGATTGTGAAGTGTGATTTTCCTGGCTCCTCCCAGCCTGGCGCTCTGGGGAGCAAACTTGTACGATCTGCTCCAAGGTCTGGCCACCAAGCAGCTAGGAAGGTAAACTGAGAAAGCACCTTCACAGAGGCCTCCTCCATGTTGGCTTTTTTTTTTTTTTTTTTTTTTTTTTTTGTGGTACCTCAGTGTGGTGGCTCTTAAACCTCAGTGTTCCCAAGCACTTTTGTCTGGTGCTTTCTTTATCTGCTGTCATGCTTTCCGGGTATGGTGGCAGGCACCACGGGTTATTAAAAGGGTTCCCTAGCCAAGCATTTGTAGACATGTCTAACTTTACATATGAGTGCTGTCGACATACAGATATTCTCCTTTCCATATGTATATGCATACATAGTCTTTGCATATACATCTATGTGAGGGTTGAATCTTATCACAATGAATTTCATTGTATTAGGCAACTCTATTATTTTAGGATTCTGCTGTCTCAGATATATTGTAACTAAATGAAAGGAACTGGGTTTTAAGAGGTAAGACCTAAATGTACCGTCTGTTTCCTATCACTTATAACTTAGGGAAGAAGGATTCTTTAAAATCTGAAATTCAACCCTATGATACCTGCCATATGTTTGTAGGTATTCAAGAATCCATTCATGAACTGGAAACACATTGAAAGCTTGTGTTAAAATGTACTTATAGATGCTTGCTTTAAAAAAAAAAAGACTTCAAGAAGACTCACAGACAGTCCACAAGTTACAAATATATTACAGAGTTACATATTTAAACACATTTATCTCCCAAGGTTTACTTAAAAAGGTATTAATAATTGATGCTTCTAGAATTACATAATATCTCTGTGTGACCAACTAAGCTGACAAAGGTTAGTAAAATAAAATCAGTTATTTGCTTGTGTCTTTTCTCTGGTTCATCTGAGCCTTCAGGCAAACCATGGGGTGTATTTAGCACAGCTCAGATCATGTCAAAACACTGTTCCTTCCCAAGTGAATGTAGGGAACCAAACAGTGTGTGCGCATCTACCAGGAACTGAAGAAGTACGGTAGTTTTAGAAGTCATTTACGGGACTGGAGAGACGGCTCAGTAGTTAAGAGCCTTTATGGCTCTTGCAGAGGACTGGGGCTCAGTTCCCAGCACCTACACAGTGGTTCATAATCACCAGTAACTCCAGTTCCAGAGGTCCAGTGCCTTCCTCCAGCCTGCAAGAGCACCAGGCACCCATGCAGTGCATTTACATAAAGCAGGAAAAACCTTATACCATGGGGAAACTGGGCACATAAAATATGTACATGGCTATGGAATTGACAAATTCAAGGGAAAATATGACTCCTAGTTTTAAAGATTTAACTTTTATGGTATAAGGTATACTTTTCCAACATTCCGTGACTCTTCATTGCTTGAGAGGAGAAGTGGAAGTTTTTCTCTTGTTTCATCGACAAAGCCGGTCTCACACTGACAGATCGGGCGCCTTTCCAGCCCCGCTCCCACCGTTTCCTGTCGTGATCGCTATCATGAACCTGGCATGAAACCTGTGAAACACATTAGCTGTGTGTCTCGGTGGTAGCCCTGGATCTTCTTTTCAATCCTGGGATGTATGGGTGTGCTGAGAGAAACATAACTGACCGGCCACAAAACGGGGAGAGGGGGATTTGTCTGTAAGTCATTCATGGGGTAAATGCATTCCTATTTGCTGATGCATTTCAGGGCATCCCGTGGGACCCTTTAAAAAGCCTGCTGCGCTTTTCCCACCGCTGGACCACCTCAGTCCTGCTTGCCAGGGTGATAGCCAGAAGGGTAATTATGAAGAACTGTCTCCTCTGAAGATCACAGGGCTTTGCTTCACTGTCCGGCGCTGGCAGAATTTAAAGATGCTAAGGGAAGAGCTGGGGAAAATTAAAAAAGGAAAATAGAGATGTTGCTGGATTAGTTCCCGAATAATTGTTGATAAAGTAACATTTTGGTCTGTGCTGGCTGCAGTCTAGACTCAAAGTGGCCCCGTGGAGAGGGAGTTAGCAAGATGTACATTCATCACATTGGAAGTGTTTTCTACATTTATATGTGAAATGCTAATTCTGATTTAAAATTTGATGATGCCACTGTAAAACAGGAGCCAAAAGAATGATTACTGCGATGGAAACCACTTATTCAGAGGACCTCCAGCGCCTTTGCCATGATTCACCCCTGCCTCGGAAGTGACTTGCTCTTTTGTTCAGTCGGAGAACTGAAAGACTGAGAAATGTGAAGCCCACACCATCTATTTAACTTCAGCCCCGCTAACTAAGGCTAGCATAATTGGTGCACTCTTATCACAGAGCAATTTCTGAAATGAAATGCACACCACGCAGCAGAGGGAGTTTTCACGAAAAAACTGAACTCCAACATAGCCTTTAAAGGGTTGCATGTATTTCCACCTAAGTCCATATGGCCGGTGTTGTCACATTGTTGAGGGTGCGTG